TATGACTTACTACTCTCATTGTAGAACAATGAGAGTATTAATATATACTGTATGAACCTTAAAAGTCTACGGCTTAAAGTCGCATAAGATATATAAGTCGATATAAGAACCAATCATCACACTGTCTTCCATTGTCTTTTTTGCGTCTGCTTTCTGATTGGATGCTCGTTAAAGCTTAAAGTTATAATCTTACAACGTTTATTTATTGTAGACGCTACGATGTAACGGCTTAAGTCTTAACGCTTACGGTTTAAGATTTAAAGCTTAAATCTTAAGTCTTAAGTTTCATTGTAGAACGGGCTTCAGGTGGGATATAATCTAGATAGACTGCACGCGTGTGCGACACAGATGCCGCGTCGCGCAAATTTAATTTAAACAAATCCGATCGCTTTAACGGCCTTACGGCCCTTGGCTTTCGTTCAACGAGCGCCGACATGTGTTACAAGCGACGATAGCAATTCGCCCCCGTCTGCATTTACTCTCTGTGTGTGCCTGTACATACACCGACGAGTATCTCCAGCTGTCAGTCAGGCGAATCGGATGATACCATCATATCCATGCAAATACTTTTGCCGACAAGCCAACTTGCAATCTCCACCCAATGTCAGGTAATACTTCCTCTCCCGGGGTGGACGGAAGGAGGGGTGGGGGGAGAGGGGGAAGAATATTGGCGTCAGACAGCGGATATCGCTGGCAGTAAATCGTTTCTATTCACTACCGACCGCTTCAAACACAAGTATATTCTATCGAATGGGAAGCCCGGAAAATGTCGCGAGACCTCGTAAAGACGCCAAAAATTCGACGAGGGGGAAGCTAAACGTAGCCGACAATTCGAGAGGAAGCCATAAACTCGTAGCATAAATTCATTTCCCCGTGCCAATATAGAGAGAAAGTATTATAAAAATACGCTTCCCTGTGTCTCTCACTCTCTTCCTCGCTCGCGGGATTCCTTTAGAAAACTAATTGTGTACAATGAGTCCGTTATGACACAGTCATTAATATATTTATAATTCGTAACCGGTCGGTGAGGCTAATTAGGTATATCAAATACATACGTGTATACGGATGATGATTATCATTAATATTATTATTATTATTATTATTAAGACAATAAATTATTCAATAATAATTATACGATCGCTATTGATTGTCCGCAACTTACAGTTTAAAACTTTAAAATGTATTTGATTGCGACGATTCCGATTGCGAATTCATTGCAATTTGTAATTAACGCTGCGCCTGCCTATCCCTAATCTCTACAAAAGAGAT